TTGTGATTTCTCTTTGCATGCAACAAAGAACATCTTATTACTTTGAATTCAATCCTTTTTACTCAAATTGATAATTTATGTAAAAGAAGTATGTTCTCTTCTTGTGACCTTGGCCTACACTTCTATTGGAGAGTTTTTCAACAGCAAACACAGTGATAAGGATGCAATTAACTATCAAGCAAATTCATAAAAATGCAAAAAGAACATATGATACTCTGATAGGATTACTATTACAGATCTGACCTCTATTGATCTACACTCATGTTGGTTTAGGAAATAATTACAACATGTTTTACATTTACTGAACATCCCAAATCAACCAATCAACCTCTCCAATTAACCCAGATATTGTAGAGTTCAAATCAATGAATTAATATATATACAAATGTATCATCATGAATTTCTATATGCCCGTATCTAATTTTGTGACACCCAATGAATGAAGTGTTTACCCGATTGATTGAAAGAACCCACCGTAAGAATCGACACTGTGTGCCAAGAAAATATCCAGAATGGCTTGCAGCTGTATAAATTTCCTCTGTTCTCATAGCACGTTTACCATTCTTACCGTTTAGTCTTTCAGGATATAAAGGAACCTTAGCTTGAAACAATTGTTCTTGAAAATAACACAGAGCAGATGGGTTGGTTATGTTAAAGAGAGTATATGATAAACAAAGTAAAGCAATATGTTGAAGAGTTGATGGTTTCCTTGATGGTTTCCTTTATAATTCCTGTAAATAGTTACTTACTTCCTCTAACTAAATTATATACTCCATTTTCATTCATTCAAGATGTGCACAAATAAGTTACTACAACTTTGTTTAAATGGTCAAACAAATTTTATAATAGTTTAACATTTGTATCTTCTGAAAATGTATCAAGAAAACCAAAAACCAGCAAAGTTCTAAAATTGTCATCAGAAATAGATTAAGGACAAAATTAAGTTGACAACAGCTACCTGTTTTATTTATTTCAAAATGAGATAAAAACAGAAGGGAGCTGTCAATGATAATTTTAACCCCCAAGTTTGAGGACAAGATATATTTGGATGATATCAGATGGTAACTGATTGCTACTAGAAAAAATGCAGTTTGTAATCAGAATCTGTTATTACTTGTGAAATCTAAACCATTCTTTAATAGAAGTTCCATCAACATCAACTTTCACGCTAGTATATGTTTAACTAGTAGAATGTTGGTAAGAAAAATAAGTTAGTGATCAGAAATAGATTGAACTGCACCTGGTGAAGATGTTAAATGTAGAGTGTTTACTCTCACTATCTGATCAGTGTGAAATTATAATGATATATGTTAAATATGTCATTTGTGTATTAACCTTAGAGCTCTCATTCCAGAAAATTTAAAAATGAGAGAAATCTGCTTTGAAAATCACCTTAAAGATTCTAAATAGTTTACCACAATTTCATGTAATGACATACCAATTGCCACTGCTATTCCTATTATTACTTTAATAACATCATGCACTTATGTAATTAAGCATATTGTTATAATAAAGGCATAACCATATTTTACTGATCAAATTTTGTGTATTTGGTTTCTCTGGAACAGTTGTACACCAGGCTTGAGTGTAATTCAATTGAACTATTGCCTTTTTTTCAAATCATTACAAGCATATGCTGCTGAGATAAACATGTGGGTACACATTCAAAGTTAAAAATACATGCTTCAGGATGACATCTTGGCATTTCAGAACTGACAAATTCAGGAAATTTCATTGGCCTCCTATCAGAAAATTCAAACAAAAATAGTTTTCATTAAAAACTCTTGGTTGTGAATATAAATGGCAATTGAATAACAAATTAACTTGCAGCTGATATTGTCCTTGAATAATTTTTGAAATGTAATATTCATTTAGCAAGGACAGAGACTGACAAACAAAAGTTGCCAAAATTATGCTGACACCATCCAAGTGAAATCAGTTCAACTGAACCTGTAGAGATTCATGATGATTACAAAAAGAATCCTTATGTTAAAATATTGGGTTAAATGTCATGAACACATGAAATAAATGTGATTCATTGACAGAAAGACCTTAGTTCCTTGATAAAAGGCTTCATTTTAATACAAGAAGACAATTCTATTTCTGTAATGTACAAGTAATTGATCGGAAATTGACTTCCAGTTTTTATATAAACTGATGAAAAAATCCATTCCACACCTTTAATCAAACTAATTTGATATTTTTTTTTTCATTTTTCTTTCCAAGTTTAAATGCCTTATAAGGAGAAAATATCACACAGTGTAGCCACTATATTTCATTTTAAACGTCTGTCTTTAAAGGGATTTTCTGATCAACAATTAGAGAATAATGATGCCTGTTTGCTACTGGGTTTGTCAACTTGGCATCCTTGCCACAAAGCTTAAAGCATACTTTGATTGCTTTTTTTAAAAGATTTGTCACCTAGATGGTAAACCAGATTTATTTAAAAAGATGGATTTCAACCTTCATCTGTTTTACAGACAGTTGACTTCTCGAATATTGTTAAATTACGATCTGGTAATAGGGGGATTATCAGTTGTGATTTATATTTAAAAGCTGAAGATGATTGCCTAATAAAGGTCGTTGCATAAGCAGGATTCACTGTTTTATCATCACCAGCATCAAATTATCTGGGATATGTCGTTTCAGAATAGTTCAGTTAAAAAATCTTTGTTTTTTTCTACATTATATCTTTTTTCTTTTACATGTATTGAAACAATTCATGATAATAAACTGAAATAGAAGTTAGTCAATATTGTTATTAGTCTATTATTCAATCTTGTACACAGAGTACCAGCACTTAAGAAGCTTCCAAAAAATCTTTATTGAAATAAGTAAATTTAATTGAAAAATTGTTGGACTTCAATTCAAAATTTCAGTAGCCAAAACCAGAAAGATTTTTTTTTAATTTACAAGTTTTAAGAGATACAGAGATTCTTATAACTGTACAGAATTGTTATAAATAAGCTTATGCAGAGATACTTATAACTGTACAGAATTGTTATAAATAAGCTTATGCAGAGATACTTATAACTGTACAGAATTGTTATAAATAAGCTTATGCAGAGATACTTATAACTGTACAGAATTGTTATAAATAAGCTTATGCAGAGATTCTTATAACTGTACAGAATTGTTATAAATAAGCTTATGCAGAGATACTTATAACTGTACAGAATTGTTATAAATAAGCTTATGCAGAGATACTTATAACTGTACAGAATTGTTATAAATAAGCTTATGCAGAGATACTTATAACTGTACAGAATTGTTATAAATAACCTTATGCAGAGATACTTATAACTGTACAGAATTGTTATAAATAAGCTTATGCAGAGATTCTTATAACTGTACAGAATTGTTATAAATAACCTTATGCAGAGATTCTTATAACTGTACAGAATTGTTATAAATAACCTTATGCAGAGATTCTTATAACTGTACAGAATTGTTATAAATAACCTTATGCAGAGATACTTATAACTGTACAGAATTGTTATAAATAACCTTATGCAGAGATTCATTTTTTATCTGTATAGTTTCTATCCTAAAGAATCTTATTTTAATGGAATATTTCTTAGAAATATGGACAGTCCATCAATAAATTGAGAACAACGCACATTAAAAGATATTTTCAATGTAAGAATTTCCATAAATCAAAGTCTTTATTGTAAATCAAAGGATAATGGGGTACTTTTCTAAAGATGTACATTAAATCAAGTTTGAGGGAAGGACATTAACTGGAAATCTTTCAAAACTACTCATTAATAAAAATCAATATGCTTTAAGTAATAAATCAACAAAAAAATCCTTTAATGAACTTTAAATATATAACAAATAGATTAGAAAACATTAAGCTCTTTTGAAAAGAAAATGGAAAAGTTAATGCGTTTCTATGGAAACTGTTTGTAATTAGTGTATTGGATGTAAAGGTCTTATTTAATGTGATAGATGAAGACTACATTGTCTCATTACTCCCATGTTATTAGTAGTCATTATTATCAAGTTAACAAATGTCAAATACAAATTACCTGAAAATAAGAAATAACACACCTGTCGGGTACCATAGAGACCATTAGATAAATATGAAATTCTATCCAATTATTAAGAATCATAATTTACTTCTAATGGCATAGAGGAAATCATATTCCTTTGAACTTTCAAAATTTCAGTTGAGGCAGATATGTTTTTTCTAAGTAAAACATCATTAGAACAGTGTCTAATATTCACTACAGAATTTTATCTTTTAAACTGAAATATGAAACAATCCTTCAACCAAAAACATTATCTAATAATTTACTTTTGAAGAGTAGAAATACAATTCTACGTAAAAAATTACAATTCTCTTCAAGTTTCAAAAAGTTAAGGCCAAGCTGGTTCTGAAGGCTTTTTAAAATACACATTAAGGTGTACCATACAGAAAGCTCTGAATCAAAAAACTCAAAATTATAGCAAGAATCATATGCTTCAAAACTAATTTAGAAATTGTCAGGAATGAATATTTGTGTGATAACCACATTTTATCACTAATTACCTTGAAGGCAAATGACCCCATGTAACTCTTTTTATTAGGAAGTAAAATTGAAAAGATGTTTCCATGACAACTTCGACTATTTTCACCTAAGTGATAATAATTCAAATAACGTTTCTAAAAGAATTTCAAATTGTTGTTTTTCAAACTGCAGCAGATATGTTGTGAATTTTCAACTGTTACAAATGTAAATTGACTTTGACGCAAATTGTTTCAAGTTAATTACATGCACATTGCTGTATCAACCCACCACAAATTTCAGTATTTACTTTCAGAAGGTTTCAAAAAGAAACTTCATTGTAAAGATAATCAGAAATTAGACATTTTAAAATTAGAAAGTTTGGAAAACAAAGTAGATATGATTTAATCTAATTAAACCACACACATTTCTTATACAATTTATCTTTTTAACTAATGCTTATTAAGGTATATCGATATACACATTTTCTTATATTTATTTATGATTCAGGCTTCATTAGCTTATATCACCACTGTAAGTAGAGACACTTCCTTCCTAATATTTATTCGTAAGCCAATATGCATTAACTTTATATGGTATAATGTATTATTTCTTTCTAATTTCTAATCACTTCTCAGTTGAAACAAGTTTTTACTTATTCCTGATAAGAAGAAGCCCTTATTTTTCAAACTCCAAAATTTTGAAAAATTTTGATAAATGTTTCTGTACTTTTCAGATGAACCGTCCAATCCAAGTTAAACCAGCTGATAGTGAGAGTCGGTCAGGTAAGTCATCTTTATATCTCTCCTTAATCCAGTACTATGTGGCAGGTGGCATTATTTTGGAGGATAATGGTATGGCATGACATATACTTGTATCATAGTCAACTACATTACCTTACACATTTCCTTAAACACGATAACATAATTTTAACCATCTTTTTCTGATTGGTCGTTTACTAAAATTGGTTTTGAATTTCATTTGTAAACCAATCAGATTACAGTATGTCTTAAGAATTGAAGTATTGTGTTTAAGAATATGCATGTACAAAATAATATCTATGATTAAATTGCACACGAAAACCAACACAAAAGTCCCTAATTGGAGATATACTTTAGTGGATGTTTAACAAGGTATTTCAAATGAACCTATTTGATCTAAGATAAGTTTGGATTATTCAAACTCACAAAGATTCTAGTTTATAAACCAGAAAATAAATTTGAGGACTATAATGGATGCATTATCTTATCAATTAACTAGCCTGCTGATTCAATTTCCTTTCCTTCCACTATTTTATATGACCAGAATCTTAATTCCTTAGTTATGATAGAGGATATCCGTAGTCTCATTCTTATCAGACATTCCTTGGGAAGTTTCCGTACTCTAATTTTGGTCCTATTATGCAGCTGTCGAACTGTCTGCTAAAATGCGGAATTGATTTAACAGGAATACTTGTTAGTTTTTTTAAGAAGCTAGTCTGCAATCATAATGTCCTTTATTCAAGTCACAACACTTGCAATCAAATAAAATGTTGGACTGCACGTAAAATTGTTGAACCTTCTTCAACAATATTGACCATTTCCTCAATTATTTTCATGATTTTAGTTGGATGGCTCTAATATCTGACAAAAAAAGGGCCAATTAGTTTGATGTTTATCAGACAAAGTGTCTGAATTATTTAATTTATTTCTGTTACTCTACAGCTCTGACAATTGAATTGAGACAAGTTCTAATAAATACCACCAGATATCTCAACTTTATAACTGTCTTACAAAATAAATATTTCTTTGATGACAAAGTAAAAAAATTTCATGCTTCTAAAAACATCACCATTTAAACATCTTAACCATTATTTCATCTGATGAAGTATTGCCAATATGTAATTGCCTGTAATTTTGCTTTGTGCTTCATTAGCCCACATGGTGCAGAGACGTACAATTCCATTTCATTTCATTATTTTTATTCTCCACTATGTGATTAGAATCTAGATGTTTCTAAGCTGTTTTTGAATACTGAATGCCTTTCTTGTATTTTTTTCAAAGTGTCCACATTTCCACACAGACTTTTTTACTTCATTCAGACAAACATGATTTTAACATCAAACTGTGCTCCTAATATGAGGTCTGTCTGAGGTCATAGTGCTTACTTCTCATTAATTCTAATAGTTGGTATATTCATGACAAAACCAAGTTTTTATCATCGAGTTAATTGTCCATAAAGTTTCCATCAGGACACCAAATTGATGTGATCTATGCTGAAATTGTATCAATTTGTGGAATAAAAATTCCATTAAGGAAAAATAACAGAAAGAAAAACTTCTTTGAAGAAGAGTTAATTTGGGATAAAAAGTTGCTTGATTTGTCATGTCTATCCTTTTGTTATTGAACAAAATACCAATATACTGGCCTAGTTCAAACCATCAGTAAACCTTAAAGATTCTTTCAAGTCTGTAATTTCTGTATCAGTTTCCAGAAGTCAAATCAATCGATCAACTTGCCTCTGAATGGAGACAAAAATTAGTTGGTTTGCTGAAATTGCCCACAGGAGAACCATGATCATCCAATCTTATTAGGATGACCAAAGTTATGTCAAGATTTTTTTCTTTTTAGCCTGAAGAAAACTTTTTTTTTATGTTGGAAGCCAGCTTAGTAATCAAAGATTGGCCTCAAGGCTCCATCTTAAGTCAAGATTTTTCTTGGTTTAATCCTGTGATTTTTAGAATCTATAGGACTTGAAGCTCAATAACACATAGATTAACTCCCAATTTTCATAGATTTCAAGTTATAAAAATTACCATAAAGTCTTAGATAAGATGGATTAAAATAGCTAAAGCCAGATTAAAATTCTGCAATTGGTATTGTAAATACTTGAATTTAAAATCGGATTGTTAGAGGTCATGGAATTTCACTCATTTGAACCCTTTTCTACAAAACAAAAATTATTTCAGATGTTAACAGATAACCATTCTCAGAATGGACTGCATAAACTGGTGTATTGTCATTGGCAAGCCTTCTGTGAGTGGTTTATTGCACATGCCTAATGGAATTCTAGGACCATTGTTGTTTCTTCACAATAAAGCTTGCCCAAATTTAAAAAAAGTTCTTAGAACAGTTGATTTAACTAAAAGGTAAACAGGTAAATTCTCTCAAGGTCAACTCAGATGTGGAACAGAATCTGTAATGTGGCCTCATATAAAAACAGAGTTTTATGTTCAGTTTGGCAATAGATAACAATTCATTTCTCACTAAATATGAATAACAATTCCTATTTATGAGATGTAATGAGAGCGTCATTCAGTTTGGTAATAATAAGTTGAGCATTATTCAAGTACGGTAATGTTTAACAAATTATTGAGATTTCCTTGTATCAACTGTCATTCACATTCAATCAACCATATTTCCATTCCAGATATGATGAAAGTCAATTCTTATGCAATCATCAAAGATAGAAATTATGATGAAAATGAAATTCATTAGAAGCAAGAATTATTTATTTCAAAGTTGCTGTTTAGTCTGTTTTCAGAATAAACAGAAGAATAAAATGAAAATTGTCTGGTTGTTCTGCAATGTTTTTTTTTTTCTTAGATTTCTTTTATTAAAAGGGTATTCGATAACTATTATGTCACCATTTCTGTCATTTTTCCCCAAACAGGACAACTTATATTAGTCTTTTAGGACATTGTACATAACCACCTGCCAATTCATATATTGCCTCACTGAGTCATTTGAGTTTGTCCTTGCATCATTTTCAGAAAGCCTTCAGAGAAGGAAACTATTTATAGAAACAACTATTTGAAATTTTTTTTGTCAACTAGATCCATATTAATTTTGTATGAAGTTTAAATTAAGAAACTGAATATTCACAGTAAAGATAAATAACCAAATTAAAAATTCTGACAGTGAAATGTTGAAATATGGGGGACTCTTTTTATATTCATCAGTGACCCCCAGGGACACTTCTAATCTAAGCTCAAAGACAATGCCTTTCAATTTAGCTGGAATAATTTAAAATGAGTTCAAATAGAAATACTCCATCCTACCCTGCAGTTAAACTAATTTGGAAACGTGTCTAAGACTTATAATGAATGAGCCCAAAGGCAGCCATTTTCATTTGAAAGGATGCCAAAGTTCTAGAAAAATTCCTGCATACTGATTGGAAGTGACAGTGTTGCATGCATGAGAGGCAAGTGTCTAGAGTTTACTGTACAGCCTTGTCAATTTCAAGTTATTAGTGACAGTGTGTTCAGGTTGGTAGAAAGAAGAGATATTGATTGGAACCTGCCAGATAATTCTGCCAATAAATCTTCCTGGAAGGTCAGGGACATTATTGATTTATGGCTTGGAGGTCTTTCTGTATTCGGTGCCAATGACATTTTTTTCTTTTACCTAATCCCTAATAATTCTTCTTTATAAATCAATGATTTTATTCAGACTTGTGAATCCAATATGGCTGCCAAATATTGTCATCTGATCTTGAAGTTAGTCACAGAAAATACATGATTACCAATATTTAATATTTAAATCTTCTTAAATTTGTAAGATATTGATGAGTCTTATATTTTTCAAAATATACACAAAAAATAAATATAATTCCTTCAAATCCGATCAGGCAATGAATAATTGGCGTTCATTAATTCAGAATGTATCAAAATTCAATACCAGCAGTTTTCAATGCAAATATATAAGTTTTTTTGTTTGTAGAAGATGGCTAGTTAAATTTTTATCTTAACTTGATGCTGTACCAGAAACTGACATGACTCTTAAGAAATGTATTTTAGTTTAGTATGGGTGTTGGATATTTTTTATCCCAAAATAAATTCTAAAGAAAAACATGAGTTGTTCAGTGACATGGAATGAGATCTAATCAAATTTGTTACGCAAGTTAAATTTCATATATTGAGGATTTTGATAGTTTGATGAATTTTGGTTATTGTTTTTGAGGAAAACTCTGTATATATACCCTGTAAACTGATATGTATATGATATAAGTTTTATATATATGAAAAATTTCAAATTGAGGAATATTGACAATGATATCTTTTATAACAGGTGCTATTGGACGTATGTTAACTTGCCTGACAAACTATCTTTAAAACCACTACATCTCCTCTCAAACATTAATAAGTAAAGAATTAGTCAAAGCTCCATTGGCTTTGTGATTAGAATAATGAGTTTTGAAGATAATGTCGCCAAAAAATCTGTCTAGCGAAGTGTTCCATTACAATAAACAAATTGCTTCAGGGCCCGGAATAATTTCATTGTGTCATATTTATCAAGATTTTTATCAATTTAATATGGTTTAATAGATTTTCAAATTTTATTGTGTTTTTTACCTTTTTGACAATTTCATTATACAAAAACTTTTTCTAAATTAAAGATTATGTTAATGGATAGGGTGTCCTTTTCACATAAGAACTATTGAACTATGGCCCTCCTTCTTGATATTTCTTGTCTAAATTTTACAATGCCAAAGTGAACAGTACCTACACATATGAGTTGACAACTTTGTGTAACATCACAAAATAACCCAGAGATAGAATTTTTGGCGATCTAATTTGGGTGATGAGTAATTAGTGAAGAAAGGTGGGATTGAAGTCTCAAAGTGATTCAATATTTGCTCTAACAGCTTTTCAGCTGGGATCACAGATTATAAATAATTTTAAAATGAGATGTGGTTAGCCATATTTGGAGGATTAAATTCCTTTCAAGATCAGAGAATGCTTGTAAGTCCTTTAAATGATGTGATGTGTGATATAGGAAGGATGTAATGGATGTGATTTAAGGTTGTATTGAGATGAGATGATGAAAGTTGTGATTTTTGATATTTCTATTTATATAGTGTGATGTTAATGTGACCAGTTACAGTTATTACTGTTGATTAATAATTAATAGAGTAAAAATACCTAGACACTATCAATTCCTGCCGAGTTCCTTTTCACATCTATTATTCAACATCCTCTATAAAATCATTATTGTGGCCGCCATTATTTATTAGGGCCACCAACTCAATTTGCTAACCAGCAGAAGTTTCCCAGTCGAAACAAACTGAGATGTTAATTATGCAATTTACACAAAGAGAATAAGGTTCACACTTGATGGGTAATTGCAATCCAAATACTAGCTAATTTTAATCCCATGATTCACGCCCCTTGACTTCTTGTGATCAGATAGTATAGACCGCCGCTCACCTGACAAAAACTTTGTTGTTCATAGCTTTCCCTTGGCACACGACCCCTATTATCTCCCTTAATAATAGGCACACGACTAAATTGATTAGTTAGCAGTATGGGGTAAGTTTACAGGTATTAGTGGTAGACAATGGTCATTTGACAAGACCCAGGTGTGGACAGACGACATGCATTGTTTCACCTGGTCAGTTATTTCTCTGATTAGACCTGACATGTGACCAGGCCAGATTATGATAGAGATTTAATGAAGCTAGGTCTGTAATCACCAGTGGTCGTACATAAATCAAACAAGAAGAATTTATAAATCATGGTAATTTAGATATATGAAATTAGGATTAGAGCATAATAGAGATGATATTTCTAAGCTCTCTACCATATGGTCTGAGAAATGAACCCTATTTATAATTATTGTTTATATGTCTGACTAATAAACAGATATATTCTTAATAATAAAAAGCTTCTGATATCAAAGGAAATCTTAATCTTCTTTCTTGCACTGCCAGAAGTTACTCCTAAGACAAGGCTCAAGTTGTATATTTTAGAATTTACAAATAAGCAGCATGCCTTACAAATTTTATTTAGCAATATGTGCCAGCCATGTCTGATTAAAGTCCTGAAATGGATGTCTAGAATTTTGGCCTTTCATACAGAATATTCACCAAAAACATTATACCTAAATGTGTGTCTATAAGAACTATAATCTCTAGTCAAGTAAAAGGAAATACTTGTTTCTGTCTTCAAAGAGCATGTTAAATTTTACAGACCAAATTACAGCATTATAAAACCAAATAATACATCAATGTTTCATTTTAATTCTTTGTAAGTTAATGCAGAACTTTTTAAAAGAATTGCTGATAGAAAACAGATCTTTCTGTATCTCCTAACATATAAATTCATAAAACAATATATAATTTTTAACTGTGGTAGGTCTACAGTGATCCAGGCCATGTTAAAACCTTCTAAAACACTTTATTCCTCTTAGCCGTTGTAAATGTGACTTTATCAACAGTTTAGGTACTATAGCATTTAGGTATCAGAAAGTATTAAAGGTACTTTATATTTATGATGGATGTATTTTTATAGTTGTACAATATATTTAAAGGCCATGATTTGCCATTTTCAAGGCTTGAATTGGATCTTGAATATAAAAAGAATCTTTAGAATTACCCAAAATTCGTGAAAATTGCATAGTCCCTCCAAATATGCTTCAAACTAGAAGAGTACCAATAAAAGACCAGGCATCATTTTAACTTTCAAGCATAATTCTGGACACACATGGAATTGAAGGCTCAAATATTGATGGTAAGCTGTGATCACTATTACTGATGAGATACAAAGGATTATGTTTATGAGACTAAGATATGATTCGTCAAATGGAAGGTGAATCTGTCATTTTAAAGTATATATTATGCTACATGATGTATGTACTCTAATCATATGATATAATAGAATATTATATGGTACAAAAAGAAAATGAAAAACTGACATCCTGGTAATTCCATACTTTGATCCTGTGTCCTGAGACATTTCAATACTACTAATTACCACAGGAAGTTTTCAGAGCTTAACTACTCATTAGTGGCTGGCATACTTTAAGCTAGATCTAATCCCAAGTTGGAGTTAGCAATAGGGGAAGGTTAGAATTAATGAAGTTCAGATAAAGGAAAGAGAGAAGACAGGAAATGAACGTCTATAATATATATTATTAATATTCTATAGATATCAGATAATATTACACAGTTCTTCTAGACAATATCTTCTGAAATTAGTACTTAATTCATAGTTAGATAACATCTGTCTACCACCAAAGCTCAGGAATATTTCAGACTCAGAAGTCAATAAATTGAGTTTTTTGGCACAAATTTGAAGATTGACAAATAATATGTCTCCCATTTATGAAGCACAATGTTAAAGTTCACTATCACATTAAAGGGAGCGGTTATTAAAATTTATATCTGGGATAATCCCTCTTTGGACTACAGATTTAACCATTTTCATGAACATTGTTAGATCATTCTTGATGTTTCATTAATGTAAATAGAAAATGAAATGAATGGAGTTTTACGTCCTACATTAATGTGAATAGAGGGAGCATTTATTAATTTTAAAAAGTTTTTACAGTTTTTTTTTAACCCTTACAATCAGTTTTAACCTGGTTCTTATTATAAACATATTTCAATATATACCCCATATATTGTGTCTAACAGTTTAACTTTAAACCTTTTTCTTTAAGTTCTTTTATTTCATTAGTTAATGTGAAAATCTAATACCAACAAAGACTCAAAGATT